ATTTAATCGTTTTCCACTCTACGCTATACAGTCAATCTCCTCCCCTCTAAGTAAATTAAAGATCAGTACCTTATTTATGACAATATATTAACCTCATAATTATATTTGTCTTTTAGCGAAGGACATTTTACATGAATGTTTTACATTATATAATCTACTCATGCTTTTCCTAAAACAACTTACCTTATTGTTTCCTGTACATAGAAATATCCAGAAATTAGAAAAAAAGTGATATTGATTATATTATCCTCTCTGTTTCACATGTGTTATTCTCAATTTCTCCATGCATGATAATTTAAATAATACATTTTTTTCAATTACAGGTACAAATCAGCTGTTTTATTACAGGTGTGTTTCACGTGGTCATACGCTCTGTTGACACTTTTGTTTGGAAAAAAATGTCTGTATAAACAATGGCACATTCTTGTCACAATGTGACCAACATTCTTACTACCAGTCAATATTGAGTGTTGATTCTGTTAATACATTACGAGTGTTTCTTCCATAAGAGAAAAAAAAAACAGATATGGATAATACCATTGTATGAACGAAAATTAAGTGGGTTGATCCACTTCAATGTATTAATAAAGTAATTATACGACAGAATGAGAACCGATAATGAATTAAGACTTACTGTAAATGCAGTGTAGAAGAACTGTCGCATGCCAGAGTAAGAAAAGTGATACATTTCGCACAAAAGACAGGTGTTTACTGCTATGGCATTGAAATCAATAATCATTTTGTAAAACAACGCCTGATTATCGATTATCTGTTAAAAGTGAGATTGTTATCATTCCAATTATAAAATAAGAATATTTAGTAATATAGAATATAGTGTCGTTTATTGGACTTTTATTGTTTTGTCAGGAATATGGAATATCAAATGTTTTTTTTTTCACATCTCATATAAAACCGAGGCTGTAATTCTTTTGACATCCATCACCCTTTTCATAATAGACTTTCCCCATAGGATAAAGTTAAATCGAATAATGCAGTCCCTCCTCGTGATCGACCCTCCTAATTGCGTGTACTCATTGCAGGGCAGTGGAATCATTCGTCACAACTTGGCCGATTCCTTATCTCCATCTAATAGATGGAGAGAAGCGGAGTCAGCCGAGGTTAGCCGATTGGCAGTGGAATGATATAACGACGGAATTGTTGGGGTTACAATGAAGATTAAAATTCACAATCTTAGTCGGAAATCTCAATGTATGATTCAATATGTAGTGTACCATACCCCCAAAATACGAAGTAGGTGGGTATAAATTTTTTGAACCGTCCGTCAGTCTGCCATCAGTTATTTTCGTTTTTAGATGCTAACGCAAATATTTTTTATCGGAATGCAACCTTACTTGGATATATGGTCATGAGAGGAAGATCTTGTCTGATTTTGAGGTCAGCGTGTTTAAGGTCAAGGTGAATGTTACTAAAACATAACTGAAATTTGAGCGGAAAAAGGGTTTGCGAATACTCAATAAAAACTATACATGGGATTTCATACAAAATGTGCTTCGGAGAACGCTTTTACATTCTAATAAAATTAACGGCATGGCATTCAATTCTTAAATGAAATTAAAATAATTACGTTCTTTGTCATGACTATTTAATGTTAAATTCAATTCATAAAACTACAACATTTGTTCGCGTGTGAAGGGTTCAATATATAATTTAAAATCATTTCGTCGTTTTTATTATGATATTAAAAGTTTCCTATTTATAGAACACATCCACCTTTTTATCATAGCATACTAAGCATAATTTTTATAAATTAGTATTGTGAAAATTTGACACTATATTTGTACCACAAGATGAAATATTATCCTGCAAAATGAAGTAGATAATATATAGATATAAATGTGTTGTGATTAAACATTTCGTGACTTACATCTCTCATGATTTTTACTTTAAGATTTTCTTTATTTATAACATATGTATTTCGTTATTAAAGTCCTTTGGGGATATTCTGGGAAAAGATACATGAGGTCAAACATCGCTACATGGGGTCAAACATCGCTATTTTTTAACAAGAAGAACAATTAAATTATGAAATGGAATGTTCTGAGGTAAACAACATATGATAGATTGATTGTTGCTTCCTGAACGCCCAATGGCAAATGTTTCATGCATATTAGGACGAAAACAAATTAGCAATTAATATTTATTAACAGGTAAGATAAGCAAAATGCGGGAAACATCGGAAGAAGAAGATTAAGAAGAAGAAGAAGAAGAAGAAGAAGAAGAAGAAGAAGAAGAACCCATTTTCTTATTTCATAAGTCGAAAATAACTGCACGACAACGACATGTCTAAAAAAGAAAAAGACAACAGACAAACAACAGTACACAAAACAAAACATAGAAAACTAGAGACTGAGAAACACGAACCCCACTTCAAACTGGGGATGATCTCAGGTTCTCCGGTATTATCTTGGAGAGTATGGTAAACAAAGAGAAATATGAACATCACCAAAATTATTTATGTACTTCTCATAGGAGCTATAATCCCTTTTCTGTTTTGGCTATTTATGTTCTTCTCATAGGAATTATTATCCCTTTGATTATTTATATAAAAATAAGAAGATATGTTCTTCTCATAGAATATGTAGAAGTTACTATCCTTCTCAGTTTTGGCTATATATGTACTTCTCATAGGAGTTATTATCCATTTTCAGTTTTGATTATTTATGTAATTCTGAAAGAGGTATAATCCCTTTTCAGTTTTGGCTATTCATATTCTTCTCATATGTGTTATTATCCCTTTTCAGTTTTGGATATTTTTTTTCTTCTCATATGAGTTATTATCCCTTTTCGGTTTTGGCTATTTATGTACTTCTCATAGGAGTTATTATCCCTTTTCAGTTTTGATTATTTATGTACTTCTCAAAGGAGTTATTATCCATTTTCAATTTTAATTATTTATGTTCTTCTCATATGAGTTATTATCCCTTTTCAGTTTTGGCTATTTATGTACTTCTCATAGGAGTTATTATCTATTTTCAGTTTTAATTATGTATGTACTTCTCATAGGAGTTATTATCCATTTCCAGTTTTTGCTAATATTTTGAAAAGAGACACTTATGTAAATATATGTCATTATGTTCCCTATACATGTATAGCTAGAGTTCTAGTAAGATATACAGCCTCATTTGGGGCCTCTAGTTTAATTTCAAATGTTATAGGTTACTTTGTAACACCTCCTGCCCATTATCATATTTTGACACACAAAGATGATATGATCAATACCTGTACGCGTGATATGTCCTCGGGTTAGATCAATTCTTACACATTTTATTTACATTTTAATTCTATTAAAATTTGATATTAAATTAGGCGGAGCGACATATGTCAAATGTTAAGTATCTTTAATTATATATAAGAGTAGTAATATCATGTTATTCATTATGAAATTTAGTATATTAATCAAGAAGATACTTTTTCTTTGTTGTGTTTTCTTTGATAATTTTTGTACCCTGTCCATCTTATATTAATATAGATATAACATTCAATCTAAGATAAGAAGATGCGATGTGATGTATGTATATAGGCAATCAAATCTGACATGGTTACTTATACGGATAAGACTCCATAATGCAGTTTTACTTATGTCTTATCCTATTTGTATTTGAGCAAAAATATTATGCTTCCCCTGATGAGGTCGATTGATGTAAAATATTTTTAGACAGACTTCCCAAACCAAGTTGTTACATTATTTAAGTGAAAGTGGTCGGTCAAATGGTTTAAAAAAAACCCATTAAGAATGTAGATCTTGCGATTCCGTATCCCGTTTATTGCTGACACGAAAAAGCGCGGTATCAATTGAAATGGAATTAAGCTGTTTAGGCAAACTATATATTTTGACTTTAAACTGTACATAACAAATTAGCCAAAAGCCGGATCGCGAGCCTTTATTTTATATAAATATATTTTCACATAATCGAAAATCTTGGATAAATAAAGTTGAAATTTCCTTTATCACTTTCTGAATGTATGCCCCTCCAATCAGTCCAAATACATGAATATTTTAAATAAGAAGATGGGGTATGATTGCCAATGAGACAACTTTTCACCACAGACAAAATGACGTAGAAGTTAGCAAATAAAGGTCACTTTACAGCCTTCGACAATGAACAAAACCAATACCGAATAGCAAGTTATAAAAGCTCGAAATGACAAATGTAAAACAATTCAAACGAGAAAACTAACGGCCTGATTTATGAAGTCCGAAATGAAAAATGTAAAACAATTCATACGAGAAAACTAACGGCCTGATTTATGAAGTCCGAAATGACAAATGTAAAACAATTCATACGAGAAAACTAACGGCCTGATTTATGTAAAAGATAATAAATGAAAAGCTAATAACATATACAGCAACAAAAGACTACCACTAAATTACTGGCTCTTGACTTGGGAAAGGCATATATATAATGCTGCGGGGTTTAACATGTTTGCAGGCGCCAACCCAACCCCCTAACATGGGACAGTGGTTTTACAGCACAACATAAGAACAAGAGAATAAGTACTCGTTTTCACCAAATCTGCCACCGTATTACAATGAGTGTCATACGAAGGTAAAAGAAATGAATCACCTTTTAATGATTGATTATTGTTTGCTTTACGTCCAGTGGCAAATATTGCCTGAATGTTCAGGACGAGAACAAGTTAACAATAATTACAAAATGTACGTCCTGTAATAGAGTCGTCCGGGATGAATGGCGAGAAATTCGGACTGCCACTGAAAAATGAGGGTATATTGGATAGGGACAGAAATTTTGACATACAACAGACCACCTACGGACCCCTCAAAGAGTTGTTGCAAGGTAGCGAGACACTCTCTCTACACGAGGCATCGAATTTAAGTTCCCCATTCTGACCGGAAGTAATAACCCTTTAAGTGATGGAATATAAATCGTAGGTACCACTATTTACTTGCTTGTTACATGAAAGTGAAAAACAATGAAAATCACGAACATTGAATACAAAGATAATTAAACCATACTTACTGCTTTGTTTTGATGCGATTCCAATTATCTCAAAAGTCACATGAGTTGTCTGTCTTGGATGCCGTGCCGGATTCCTAATGGCTAGCCGAATTCCTATATATCGATCACAGCTTCATTTCAACTCTAATAGAATTAATTCTGTATGTACAGTAATTTCTATTAATGAAATCATATTTTCTCTTCGTGTTTTCCAGTGAATTTTGTAAGTTATGGAGTTTTAAATTACTACAAATTCCAACATTCGAATCAAAAAAGCCCCGATACTTGTCACTTTTACTGTGTCCTCCAGAACTGACTGACCTTTGTGTGAAAAGACTGACCTTTGTGTAGAAACAAAATCCTATGAATTGTTGATCCCTGAATAAAAACAACGTTTTAAAAGCTTAAAGATTAAATGTCAGTTATCCCCCGTAATAAAGTGAAGATTATCTAAATTAAGTTAAATCCCTTAATTGGTCAAGAGTCCAATTCTACATATTGACCAGGATCACTAATTCAAACCTACTCTAGGACGACTCTTCAGTATTATCGTTAAGTTTGTTGAATATATATATATATATATATATATATATATATATATATATAAAGAGTATAACGAATTGAAGAATTAAAATAACTCAAACCTAATCTTTCAGATTAAAAAACAATAAAGAAGAAAATGATAGGATAACCGCCAACATGTATATTGTGTTGTTTTAATTGGTATTTACTCATTCTTAAAAAATTTAAAATTTTTACATCTGTTTACCAATTCTTAGGCCAGGGCAGAAAGAAAATGGTAATGTTCATTTAGAAGACAGACAAAGATGCTCTCTGGTTTTATAATTTTATTTCTAATGACAATTTCAATATAGGGTTAACGCTCGAAATTGATTCGGGGTTAGTATTCATACCGAAAAAAAAATCTATACGAAAAAAAATTCTTTTTAATAAAGTTTGAGGGCACAAAATATTGAATTGAAGCGGGTAAATTATTTGTGTACTTTTAATTTACTCTTCTCATAGTTGATACAAATGTACAAATAAAAATAACGGAAAACAAATTGTGCCTGGCCTTACATTGTCTTTTAACTATAGAAGTAGTGTCAATCTAAATACTTATAGATATACATTGTCATTTGTTTTTATTTGAGTAGGTGTAATCTGTTACAATTATAACAATAGACAAAATTCTCAACTTTAAATATTCTAAAATATGTTATTATTGCTAGTGTTCCGAAATATTTAAAGATACTATCAGAGAATTTGAAATATTGGAATTATGTAGCAAAAACCACAAACATTTTTTATGGAATTTGAAGTATCAAACTTGTCACACGGTAAGGCACATGTCTCAACAGACTTTCTTAATGCATCAACACTGTCGTCTTTTATATATATTGTAACTCTTCAGTGGCGGACCTGGGAGGGGGGGGGGGGGGGATGGGGGTCCGGGGGTTGAAACCCCCCCCTTTTTTTTGACGATCAATGCATTTGAATGGAGACATATAGTTGATAAATTTCAGCCCAAATTAGAAGTTATGTTTAATCAGGACGGACACACTTTTTCAAGGTAGATAGTTGGACTTCGCAACCATATTTTGGTATTTATGTAAAAGTCTCTTCAGTTCAACAGAAAAAATTAAAGATTAGAAACTCCCGTATTGTACATCTTGTTTCTTCAGTCTCATTCCACCTTTTTATATAACATTAGAGAGTGCATTTGTTAAAACAAATTATTTCCTTCTTCATCTTCTCATGAATATTATATGCTACCGCCCACGACATCATGTATTAATGACTGTTTTATATTGTAATATGCTCCTTGTAAGCCCATTCAATGGAAATGAAACATTTTCTTCTTCTTGTCTCCATATAGACACATGGTTTTGGGCGCTGAAGACCAGTGCTGTGGACAAATAATGAGAATTATTTCCTTGAAGATCATCGTCAAAGAGCTATTTTCTACATACACTAACTTAGTAAGCGACCTATCATCGACCAATAGAGACTTGTACTACTTTCGTACTGAATTTTCCAGTAAGGCCGAAAACTGAAAGTTGTCGCCGATGCATAAAATTTGGTGGTGTTACATCTTACAAGGTCCATCCGAATTATTTCCAAAAAAAATGGTGCTTGGGCCTTCTTAAACTTGCAGTTAGGTGAGAGCCTTTTTGCTCCGTGTTGGAAGGCCTCACTGTGACTTTGAGATAAAGAACAGCAATACAAGCGCTGTTACTTTGCTTTTTGTGTCTTTTTTGCTGTGCATGTACTGATTTTGTGTCCTGGATTGATACCCCATATCCTGTGTGTTTCTATTATAGAAGTCATTATACTTATCTCATTAATTGTATTCGTTATACACTGTATAATGGTATTCGAATTCCTATGGATCATTGTTCTAAATGAACATAATATATATATTGGTGAATCGTCAAAATGATTTTCTCCGGAAGAAGAAAGAAGAATTATTCATAAACATTCTCAACCCGGGATTAAATGATGAATAATATTTTATTTTTTACTTAAATAACATTTTAAAGTATTTACTCAATTTTTGAAATCACATTAGTAGTCTCCCTTGTATTTGTTAACGTCATACTATTGTTAACGTCAATCAACTGTTTTGTATAACACTTATGTATACAAGTCACATTACCTGAAGATCTGTAAAAGCAGTGAAAGCGCTAGTAAAAGTGATGAATTGAAACCGTTATTATCTTTTATTAATTTTCTTATATGTTACCAGCATACGGATTCTACTTAACTTTTCTTTATATATATATACATAAATATACAACTCGTCTAATCATCAGCCCAACAATGTTAGATCTGTAAATTTGCTTTCGCAAATTTTTAGTTCGTCCCTCGCCGGGATTCGAACTCATGCTACTGAGATATCGTGACACCAATTCGCCTGCACTGTATCCGACGCGCTAGACCACCCGACCACCTAGGCTTCACAAAATAAAGCTTTCGGTGGCCGGGTGTTACCTTTCCTCGTCAGTTTTAATCTAGCGTCGTAATACAGTACATGATATATAAGGCATGAAGATGGAATAGTTACAGATCAGCTGAAATATCTATTGTAAAAGATCCTACAAATTAATGCAAGATACAGTCACAGAAATAATTATATTTATAAGTACGTCTGAACCAGTGACAACTCTACAACAGATTTATCCATCGGATCACCAGTCGGATACAGTGCAGGCGAATTGGTGTCACGATATCTCAGTAGCATGAGTTCGAATCCCGGCGAGGGAAGAACTAAAAGTTTGCGAAAGCAAATTTACAGATATAACATTGTTGGGCTGATGTTTAGACGAGTTGTATATACAGAATGTACACAGCCATGTATCACCATCACTGCTGGTGATCCGATGGATAAATCTGTTGTAGAGTTGTCACTGGTTCAGACGTACTTATAAATATAACTATTTCTGTGACTGTATCTTGCATTAATTTGTAGGATCCTTTACAATTGATATTTCAGCTGATCTGTAACTATTCCATCTTCATGCCTTATATATAGAGAACATCTGTTGTTTGACCTGCTGGTCAAATGCGTTTTGTTAAAATATACTTTTTCACTTTTTTGGTCTTTTGGAAAATGTTGTTTGTGCTGTATTTAGACCCCTTTACCAAGAAATTTGTTTTGCATGCACACGTATGAAAATTGCGGTTTTTATCCAACGCAATCATAGGTTTGAACGTTGTTTTCAATTTAGACTTGTTTATATTTTTTCGTTTGGGCTTGTATTATATTTGCCTTCGGGTTTATATAATCCGTTCATCCTATTTCGAATCTTCAAAATTCAAGAGTCAATCCTAAACTGAGGTAAATGATATGGCCTTCCAAATACCGTTTCGATTCCTAACATCACTGAAGAGACATTAATTGTCGAAATCCGGATATGGTGTACAAATTTTTGAACCTTAGGTTTGCGGTATACCATCTTTTCCGCAAGTTTATTGTTTTTCTGTTTGGTATTAAATTAATTATTAAGATCCATTTTGTTACATCTGGTGATCTGTTTATTTGGCAATCGCCATGGCAGTCAGCAGGGTTTAAGAACATCTTGAGGACCGTACTTCGACCTATATTGGTTTACACTTATAGATTTTGACTTGGATGGAGAGTTGTCTCATTGGCACTCATACCACATCTTCTTATAATTTTATAATTGTTGAGTTAGATTGCTGACAAATAAAAATACATTGTGTATAAACAAAAATAATATAACATCTACACACGCTAAAACACATGTCTTAAGTCTATCTCTAGATTCGCCTTACGTGACAAGGTAACACTACGACTATTGAAGTTATATTTTTTTATATAACGGATGTGGTCGAGTGGTCTAGAGCTCTGGACATTTGGCTAAGCGATTGGTGCTGTAGTGTATCGAAGGTGTGAGTTCAAATCCGGTTAAGGGACAACAATTTGTCAGCATATAAATCTAATTCTAACACGGTTGGGTTTAATTTTCAGACTTCGATACAAACTTATGTTGCCTTGATTTAAATTTAGAATAATTATTGTTTTATTTTCATGAATTACAATTTTACAGTTTATCCGGATTGGATTGTCTCTCTTCCCCTGTATTTCCTAAATTCGCAGTCCGAATTTTTTCTACTTATTATTACCGTGCAGTCAAGTTAAATTAATGTTTGGGAATCTCTATCCTTAGTTTATTGCAACCGACGTCTGACAAACCTAAACATCATCATAGACCACATGTACCAAAGTTAGTAAAGTTCGATAAAAAATGTCTAATAGGAAACAATCAAAAATCAATGTAGACTTTATTTACAACTTCCGTATTACAAAGTTATATATGGAGTTATATTGCAAGGTTTCAAAAGGCTTAAATTTTTTATGATTATTTTTTTCTGTAAACGAGGAATATTATTTATAGAATTACTAATCGAAGAATTCAAATATAGCGAGTCTTATTTTTTCTGCAAATGTTCGAAAGGCTGTCACAATGTTCGCTGGTCATGTGAAAGGCTGTCATGGCGTTCGAATGTCATGTAAAAGGCCGTCATGCCGTTCGAATGTCATGTAAAAGGCCGTTATGGTGTTAGAACGTCAGGTAAAAGGCCGTCATGGTGTTCGAATGTCACGTGAAAGGCCTTCATGATGTTCTCTGGTCATGTGAAAGGCAGTCATGATGTTTGCTGGTCATGTGAAAGGCCGTCACGGTGTTCGATAGTCATGTGAAAGGCCGTCACGGTGTTCACTGGTCATGTGAAAGGCCGTCACGGTGTTTACTGGTCATGTGAAAAGACGTCACGGTGTTCATTGGTCATGTGGAAGGCCGTCACGGTGTTCACTGGCCATGTGAAAAGACGTCACGGTGTTCGATAGTCATGTGAAAAGACGTCACGGTGATCGTGACCATGTGAAAGACCGACATGGTGTTCGTGACCAAGTGAAAGACCGACATGGTGTTCGTGACCATGTGTAAGACCGGCATGGTGTTCATGACCTAGTGAAAGACCGACATTGTGTTTGTGACCTAGTGAAAGAC